TTTAATAATCAAATTTAGTTGTCAATGATATTCACATTTATATTGAAAAACATGTGATGTATTTCTATACTGTATCTTTATTAAATTCTCTATCTTTCGAATAAATTAATTTTATAAATAAACCAAGATATATCGTTAACATGTTATAATAAATCTCTACATTATAAATCTTTATTATTGTTACTCAACTATGCTTTGTGACTGGTTTTAAAGTATACTCATCGATCAGATAACGAATGATGTTAATACTTAACACTCGAACGTCGCGAAAGAGATTTGTCAACTTGCAATCGATACCTGTCGATCGATCGTACATCGTGTGATTCCGTCGCGGCTGAATTAATTATACCATCGATCACTCTGTATTCTTTTCCCTGGCGAGCACGAAACGCTCGTATATCATATTGCGTCACCGCTATGAAAGAGAACAGGATCTGGATCTGTGATGAAACACAGTGTGCGTATAGAGAGAGATTGTGAGATCGCGTCCATTTTCTTTTTTCTTTTTTCGAAATATGATATAATATTGGATAATGGAGATAACGGATTTGTGTTCCATGACAACAAAGCGAGAATCAAAAGTCAAAGATGACAATCACTGAATTACACCGAATGACATCCAATTCGAGAAATAAACTAAATATTGGCCTTCAATTTTTATTAGTATGATTTATCAATCACTAAAATAACTAGTTAATTGCATAGTCATTTATGATTAAAATAATATCATCCCAAATTATTTTCTATTTAAAATATAGTTAATCAAAGTTTATTATTAAGGAATTATAATACAATTTCTTTGAATACAGAAAAAAAGAAAATTAATTTTATAAGAATCTAGCTTTTTGAGAAAAAATATAAAACATTTTTCAACATTTGCAAAATTAAGGGTTACGATTATTGAAAACTAATTAAAGTTTAATGCACAATATCAATGTTCCTTAAGTGTATGTAAAAATAGCATTAAAATTTTTTATAAATATGTGTTTTGTAATATGGTTAATATTGTGATTTAGTAAAGTATATAAGCATATAAATATATATAAATATATATAAAGTATATTAATTTTGTATGAAAAAGTGTAGTGACAATAACCTTAAAAAAAGAGTAATTGACTCTCATAAATTATACAGCAATATTGTTTGCAATTATATAATTTTTCACATCATATGCTATAAGTAATGAAGAGTAAGTTTAGCTTGTGAATAACAATTATACTATAAGCAACATCAGAAGATTAGTCTGGAAACTTTGTTAAGTTTCGAACATCCAACTTCGCTAATAGTCGTTGAAGTATGGACGCGGTAAGTAATTAGCGATTCGCTAAAAAATGTGATCGCGGATATAATCAGATGATTAATCATTACTTCTTCAAAAACAACTTTTACACTACTTACTCGAGTGATTTATATGTCACATTTAATATCGTAATCGAAATCGGAAAAGAAGAAGAAGATTGATGATGGATATTTCAAATTGACATTTCGAAAAATTGATGAAACGATGTTAAATTGCTCGACGTGATTCGGCCGCACATGAATATAATATGTCACGTGATTCGTGAATATATTTTTAGTATTCGCAATGTATGTCATTTGTTCGAGAAATTCGCGACATCTCTTTGCGAATAATCCTGGACAAGGGTTAACGAACTCATGGTATAATTTATAAATTTTTCAAGTGCATTTACGAAGGATGACATCATCAGCTAGCAAGTAAAAAGATGAAATGGATGAGTCGTGCATAATTTGTAAATTTTGCGAGATCGTCAGAGATCATAAAAAGTTTCACTGTTTGCATTTCAAGAACAAGCAGATACCTTCAGCGAAAATAATGTAGCGTTTTTACGTTCCTATGTTTTACATGAGCAATTTTTTATTAAATGCCAATTCAATGTACTGTCATTATTTTTCCTATAAGATAAGAGATATTGTATTGATAGAATAAATTCTTTAATTATATAAAAATTATATAAAAATTATATAAATAATTATAAAAAAATGTATAATAAATTTAAAAATCTTAAATCTTACATATATAATACAACATTCTTATATATTACAACGAATCGATTATTTTATTTGTACATATTCTTCTGAGACGTATTTATTTTAAGGTACAATAAGTGTTCTACCGTTCTCGTGTACTCTTGGAAAATTCGCTCACCATTATTTTTAAGTAGTTCGCTCGCAATGTTTCCATCTTTGTAACTTTTCCAACTTACAATTTTTCAAGCGCTGCCGTTCTCTTTTTCGCCAAACCAGATTTCCAGAGAGGGAACCTTTGACGGTTCGATTTCGGAAATCGATTTCGATCGAAGCGAATACACGTGGAGTGTGCAAACGAGCTGTCTGAAAATAGTTGGCGATGAGTTAAACTCGTGAAGGAAAAAAAGTATGAACTCAGAACTTCAATTCGGTTATGCATGCCGAAGTTCTCCGGCGGGGCAATTTCCAAAATTTATTCACGGTAGACGAATCATTCCAAGCCCCAACATAGAATTAATATATTCCGCTTATATATACTATATAATTTGTCACTTTATTCGAAGATTTTATCAATTTTTCTATAATATTTGTCCAAAATTTGTTGATCTGAAAAGTATTTGTGATTTTATTTTATTTGTGTATTTTATACATTAATATTTTAATTAAATCAACATATTTTACAAACAAGTGATGAAACTGTGAGTGTGTGTGTGTGTGTGTGTGTGTGTGTGTGTGTGTGTGTGTGTGTGTGTGTGTGTGTGTGTGTGTGTGTGTGTGTGATAAAAAAAAAACTACAAAAATTACATCAAAAATATTTTAGTAAGATATTTTAATTAAAATATTAAAAAGTAGAAGAGAATATCACGCAGTAAAATTTTTAAACAAGAAAATTTAGTTTTAAATTTACATCTAACAATTTATATAATTAAAAGGAGAAAAATAAATTTTTGGAGCACTTTATAAAATTTATAGAAAGCATAATTATAGCGCTCTATGCTATAATTATAAAACTATATTCGGACATCTTGATATCAAACGTTATATTTCGAAACAGTATGTAATCACGCTGAATTTTCATTTGCATTTGCATTTGCCTTTTGCCTTCAGTTTCTACTACTTGCACGATAAGCATGTGTTCGTCGGTGGAGCGCCGCCGAAATTGCCGCTATCGGATTAGAAAACGTGTCTGGAATCAAAAGATAAGATGTGTAAAGCTATTCAGTGGCTAAATCGAAGAAGTGAAGTTTCCGGTGAGGAGTCAGTCTTGCAAAATTAGTACGCTTCGCTCATAAGGGCACTGACATGTTCCGTAAGCATTTTACGCCTTGCGCAGCTCTTATCTTCCTTCTCCGTCTTTCTTAGCCAGAGCTGCATACCACTATCACCTTGTTCTATCCCTATCAGCACGTCTAATCCAATTCAGGATTTCTTCGTTGTCATCCAGCGTGAATCTCGTCGATGGTTGAACGAACATGATTGCGCACGACGACTTATCGTCGTTGAATTAGGGTGAGCGTGTCTCGAATTTGGAAACGGAGCATTGTAAACCTGGGAAGAGAAGTGAAATGAGATCGGTGGTAGACGCAATTTCAGCTTGACGACAGATAGAGAGGAGAGAGGAACGATAGGATCGAAAAGCCATGTTCCATTCATGCAAGTACAATTTCCTCTTTCGCCTCCTCGCCACACTTCTTCGTTTCAAATTGAGGAAGGCATTCTTATTCTTTCTCGCTCAGTGCGTTTCGCCGCATCGCCTTCTTAAAACGAGTATCTCGATCGACTAAAATATCACATGTGACACGTCCAAATAGGAAAACGAAATGCGAACGAATGACAACGTAATTCCGCGATGGCAATGTGAAAGAGACTGTGAAAATAGCTGAACGATCCGTGAAAAAGCGCCGGTAAAATATGAATCACGAAAGAGATAATTGTTTTAAACCGATACAGCTTATCTGTATTAATCTCGTCTACATCTGATCTTTTATTTATTTGATGCATTTGTGTAATTATTTTTCATAATATTACATTTAAGAATGTTTAATGTAATAAAATACTAATATGAATTTAATATTTAATAATAAACATTTGGATTTGTTGTTGGTATTAATTAATTCAACATAAACGTTTAACATTTTTTTCATATAATAAATAATCGAAAAATAATGTTGATTTTATAAAATGACCTACTTTTCAAACTTTGTGTAATGGAGATGTAATTTTTCCCCACTTAGAAATATCCTTTCTCGTTTTTCTTTTTAACGGGTCCTCGCAAACTTGCAATCTACCTCGTACGAGTATCTCACCACGTATTCTCGTTTTTCAAAGTTTAGCGCGATGCGCTCAAAAGTTTTTATGGCATTAAGTATACATTTTTTCTCGTGAACTAAAAAATTATTTCTTTATCTGAGATAACAATATATATTCATAATTATTTTTAAGGAAAAAAGTTCTTACGGTGTATGTTGATATTGTGATGCTGAGATTATTTTATAAAAATTATAGATATAATTATAGATATAAAGGATATCATAAGCCAATTATAAAATCGTATTTTTACTCCCGACTGCTGCCAACCGAAGGTTGGCAAAAAATGGAGGGAATATGCGTTTCATCGAAGTCAAACCTTTGTTATCTTAGTAATTATAATACAGTTTGATATCGACACCCGAAGAATTGTAGTCTGATAGAAAACTAGATGTAAAATTTTTGCAAATTTTTGATTCAGATGCTAAATAAGAATATAGATGTCTCAAAATCTTAGATACAAAAGGCATTGAAGCGGTGGTAATTGGTATTCAACAGAGTCATAAAGCTTACAGACTTTGGGAAAGAGATACGAAAATTGTTTTTAAAAGTAGAAATGTCCGAATAAACGAAGAAAATATTCTTAAAGAGAAAGAGTTTGTCGTTTTTTCAATGTTATCAAGTAAAGATGTAACTAATGAAGATTTAGAAAACGAAAATTCGGACAATAGTAAAGCATTAGAAAAGATGCCTTTTTGTAGATAATGAATGTAGATAATGAAAACGCAGAAACAGAACCGGAAGATGATTTGCCAGCAAACTTATCGGAACCGCTAACTATAGGAACTCGAGGGCGCGAAAGACCCAAAATGGTTCGTCCCCAACTGGGAAACCAGAACGCCCGAAAAAGCAGTATCATGAAGCTAGAATCGTTATCAGTTTATTCATTGAAAATCCGACTTCATTAGAAGAAGCAATAAATAGTAAAGATAAAGAAAAATGGTTAAACGCGATGAATAATGAGATAATTAACTTCTTAAATGAATGATAAACTTGGATTTTAGTGGACGAAAGAATGCATGTGATATCTTCTAGAATGCATGTGATATCTCCTAGAACGTGTTATCTTGTAAATGGATATTTAACATAAAGAGGAATCATAATGGCGAAATAGATATAAAGTGAGATTAGTGGCGTTGGTTGCGAATGGCGTAACGGGATCTCGACTATGATGAGATCTACTCACCCGTCGCTAGAATTGGGACCATACACTTAATGCTTGCTTTAAGTGTAGAGGAGAATCTACGTATACATCAGATGGATGTAGTAACTGTCTATATCCAAGGTGATTTATTTAATCTATATGACGCAACCTCCGTTGTTTCAGAAAAAGTCAGGGAGTCAGAAAGTCTGCAGACTTTTGCGTCCCATTTACGGTTTGAAACAATCCGGGCATGAGTGGCATCGTAAACTGCGCAAAAAATTGAACGAAATTGTCTTGCAAAATTCAAAAATAGAGCCATGCATTTTGCATGGAAAGATAGACAATACGAAGCTGATTATTATCGTTTATGTAGATAACTTATTAATATTTTTAAAGGCTTTAGATAGCATTACAAAAATAAAGAAAGAATTGAGTCAGAGTTTTAAAATGAAAGATTTTGGTTTTGTTAACGAAATTCTAGGATTAAAGATCGAGAAAAATTCTTATACTAACACGATAAAGATCTCGCAAAAAAAGTGTGTGAAAGAAATTTTAGAAAAATTTTCTATAATAAAATATAAGCCAAGTTCGACACTTCCTAATTCCTAAAACTAAATTCACATGTGAAGATAAAGAAGTGACATATGGTGAGTTGACACCCGTGCCGTATCGCAAACAAGTGGGTAATCTGTTTTATCTATTTAGACCAGACATAGCGTTCGTAACTATAGTATTAAGTCGTTTCAATGCAAATTTGAAAACGGAACATTGACAAGCTGCAAAATATGTATTGCGCTATTTGAAACACACTCAAAATCTAGGTATAAGTTGTAATCTAGGTATAAATTGTAAAAACCCGTGAGAGTTTTAAAGCATTTACAGACGTCGATTGGGGCGGTGACACTGATAGTCGAAAATCGCATTCAGGAAATACATTAATTCTTACGGGAGGACTAATTACACAGTCATCAAAGCGTCAAAAATCAGTCGCTTTATCTACAATGGAATACATGGCACTATCCAATGTTGGAAGTGTTAGTATGAAAGAAGTCGTATATATTAGAAAATTAATCGAAGAAATAGGTTTTTCATTTTATGTTAAGGAAGCTACAATTATATTTTGCGATAATCAAAATGCAATTGCCCTATGTAAAAGAAAGATGGTAAATCAAAGAGGTAAGCACGTTGACATCCGTTTTCATTTTTTAAGAGAAGCACAAGAACAAATGTTAACCACCTACTATCCAATCAGAGAAAAATGTTGCCGACGTGTTTATTAAACCTTTAATAAAAGACAAGCATATGAAATGCGTGCAAATGTTAAACATGGATTGTAAAAGACATACGTTAATGTACGTACTATTTAGGAAGCCGAATGTAATTTTTTTTCTTTCATCTCATCATATGTAATCGTTCATTATCATTTTTTTGATTGAGTGTGTGTTGATAAGGGAAGTGTGAGAAAATCAATCCACAATACATATGCGTATTGATAACCGATCACTCTAGGGAAATAATTGTTATACTGAAGGCGCACGTGTGAGGTTTTTCTTTATTCTTTGTCTTTTTATAGTTGTCCGTTTTTATATTGGCACCTCGTCTCGTACTGGCTTGTGATCCAGTTGAAGTAAAGTGCTCAACTAGAGTTTGAACACTAGAGTAGTCGTCTCATTCTTATCTCCCGCTCAACAATTTCTTTTAACTTAAATTTTTAATTTTATTTTTTTTAATTTCATTAACTTTAATTTTGTTAAGCCTATCCTTTTTATTTTTAATTTTTTAATAATCCTAATTCTTTTATTTTATGTTTTAATTTGTTAGATTGACTTTTGGCAGCAGTTGGGGAATCTTTTTTTTTTAAACATTTCTTCATTTAATTGTTTTTTACATTTTTTAACTTCTTTTTTTATTTTAAACTTTTTTATTTTACATTATTTTACATTTTACATGTTTTTCATATCTTTTAAATTTAAACTTAAATTTACAATTTTTTAATTTTACTTTCAATTCTTTTTTAGACTCACAAATACACTACATTTGTGTAGATAAGGAACAATATGTTATGTATTGATACAAATTTATAAAAGGTTTTTAACAAAAATGTTGAGCAACAAAAATGTTTCAGCAATAGACACAGTAAGTAACTACATTCTTATGGTTTCTTAAAATTAGGTTCTACATTTAGTATAATAAGGAAAGTGTCAATTTTTATAAACGTTTGTGGTTTTTTATGCTTTTGATTATTATTTACAAGAATTCTTTATTCGATCGTAGTATATAAACGTTTAGTGTTTAGTGTTTTTAGTCTTTATATCATTTATTATATATCATTAAAACATGAACATATGTCGTTATATTTTCAAATTTTTATATTATTTTAGTTCATATTATTGCAAAACATTGACTATAATAATAATGTTAAATAATTTAACATAAGAGATTACAAAATAATAACAATTTATTGAATGTCAACAATTTCATATCAAAGCTAAAAGTAAATTATAAACTACTGCTTATGACAATGCATTTTTTCTTTGGGATGTAAGTAATTGTAATATATAATATACATGTATAATATTTTATTAAAAAATATAATGTTAAAAATAAGTTTAAAATATGAATTACTTAATTATGTTTCCAATATAAAAAAAAAATCTATACTATAATGTAGCTTAGATATTATAATAGGATAAATAGAAATTAGAATTTAATTTTTCAGAATTAGAATTTAAAAATTAGAATTTAAAAATTAGAATTTAATTTTACCATTGAAAAGTTACACTATTAAATATATTCTTTTAATTTAATTATAATTATTCTTTTTACTTTAATTGCAAATCCTACTCTACCATTTCTATACGTCTATGGAAAGCAACTTGGTATTTTACAATTAATTATAAGTAGCATATTTGCCATTTTACCTCTACTATATCTTATTATTTTATATTTTATATCATTACAGAACGTTAATAATTTATCATATTTGTGCAAAAGGTTACAAAATAATAAGATACAGAACTTATCAACATTCCATTTCCAAATGATGAAAATAAATTATAAACTGTTGCCTATAAAAGCGCATTATTTTGTTTTTATGGCATGTAAGTAAGTGATGATAATGATAATATAGAACATCTTATTAAAAAAATCTAATTTTAAAGATAAATATAGATATAACTAATTCAGTTTCACATTTCCATTATAAAAAGATATATATCACAAATTTAGTTTAAAAGTATGTATCAGGCAATAACTTAAATAGATGTTACAATTAAATTATAATCAGTTATTATTGAATTACATTATTAAACATAATATATTACAATAAAATGATAGTTATTCTTCTATTTTAGCTGGAGGACCTACTATCCCATTTCTACAAGTTTATGGAAAACAACTTGGTATTTCACCATTAATTATCGGTAGTATATTTGCTATATTGCCTTTGCTATATCTGATAGCAAAACCAATATTTGGTTTTATCATAGATTATTCTCAAGCATGGAAGAAAACTTTTATAGTAATGTTCATCATAATACATAGTTGTTATATCGGAATATTTTTTTACCAGCATTGCCAGGTGCAATAATGCCAGATCATTTTGAAAATGTTTCGTATGCACTTTTATCACATTGTAATAAGGAACACGTAAGTCTTTATCTTTTTGCAATTCAGTATATTTTTGATAAAATGTTAATTTTAAAATGTCTGTAATATATATATTATTTTGTATAAAAATCAATTTATATAAATTCATGAATTAATTTTTATATATATTTTGTATTTATAAAATCATACATTTTAAAATGTTATATATTAAATTATATTAAATGTTATATATTAAATTAAAGTATAGCTTTAATAAATGTGTATTATGTGTATTATGTTACATTACTAATATTACTGAATTTAGCTATTCTAAAAGTATATGTAACAGTATATTTTGAATGATATTAAATTACTAGTACTTTTGCAAAAGTTTTTCAATTAAAAAAAATTAATTATTCATTTTTCATTTAAGCATGCATCGGAAATCGTATTGTGTAACGGTACAAAAAATACCAATTGTGATTGGATATGCGAAAATAAAAATTTTTCCACACGATTATCCTTTTATGCAACGGAAAGAAAAACAATTATGTCATTAGATACCGCATGTTTAATAAGTGTGAACGATGCATTATTCCGTCAAGAAAATATAATAACAAATTATAATTGCAACGTTACTTGTGACAATTTTGAAGATGATCACTGTTTGTATACATCTATCATATTTTGGAGTTTTACCCTTTTAATATCTCTTGGCAATATTTGTATGCACTTTTGCGCGCTCACAAACGATGGAATTTGCCTTGCCATATTAGGTATGTGATTTAAACATAAATACATATTACAGCTAAGTAAAATATGAAAATTTACATTATATATAATGAGCTTAACTACTAATTAATTAACTTTACACAATTTTGTGCAATAATATCATATAAAAATAGAATACCTTTTTTTAACAAAGTCTTTCTTTTCAGGACAAAATGAACAGTTAAAGTATGGTATGCAACGACTATGGGGTACAATAGGTTACGGTCTAACAGCATGTATAAGTGGATACGTGATAAACTTATGGCCACAGGAGGAGACTTACAAAACTTACACTTTTGTATCTCTTTTTGTAATTATATTGGCTTCTATCGACTTGGTCTGCTGTGGTAAATTGAAGGTAAGTGTTTTATGCATTACAAAAATAGACTTGACAGCATATAGTTTTGTTCTTTTTATTCTAAATTTTCATTTTTAATTTTTAATTTTATTCTAAATTTATATTTTCATTAAATTATATGTTTTGACAATAGGCATCATTAGAACCAGGATTATCAATCACTATGAAGAATGCTTTTGCGCTATTGAAATTCAAATTTATCATCATATTTCTATGCTTTACTGCATTTATCGGTATACTTCATGGCGTCACGATAAATTTTTTGTTTTGGTACATTTTTTATCTCAATGGGTGAAATTATATTTTCGCTTATTTATTATTAGAATGTAAGAAGTTAATGTAAGAAATTATTATAATTAATTGAACTTAGCATTTATTATATTTGATCAGGTATCTAGAAGATCTTGCTAATGCGACTGGTTATACAGACAAAATCAAATTGATAGAAGGTTTAATCGTGGGAGTTCAGAATTGCGGTGAAATATTATGCTTCTTTCTATCTGGTAACATTGATTATTTTTTTATTTCACTTTTATATATATATATCACGTTTTATACAAGTAGAAACGTTTTTTGTAATAAATTATAATATTATGAGATTTTTCCTTTTAGGTAAAATGCTGGAAAAGTTTGGATATGGTTACACTTTTGCATTTTGTTTTATATGCTACGCCCTCCGGCTTGGATTAATATCTTTAGCTTCGATGCCATGGTGGATACTTCCCATAGAATTTTTCATGAATGGATTATCATTTTCAATAGGTTTAGCAACAATAGTAGCGTATGCAAATAGTATAACACCACCCGGTGCAACAGTTACTGTCCAAGGAGTTGTTCAAGGCATGTATGATGGTTTAGGTAAGATTCTTTTACAGTTATACATTTATCACAAAATATATTTTCAAAAAGAAAAAGACTTTATACATGCAAATAACTTGTAATACATACCTTTGTTATGAATCAATTACGATGATTATGAAATATTGCAATATTTCTTATTTTAGGACATTCAATTGGTAGTTTATTAGGAGGTATCTTTTATAAGAAATTTGGTGGTACAATAACTTTAAGAATATTTTCAATATTCGCCGCGCTTTCTGCATTAACTTATCTTATTCTTCATATATTGTATTTAAAGAATAAAACAGGTAAGGAATAAAATAATATGTAGGAAATAATTTTGCTTCTAAACATATATCTTTTGAGAATATAAAAAAAAATAAGGGATCTCCTTTTTATTCTAGAAAGTAATGTTGAATGGAAAAAACCTGATGATGCATTGAAACATTGTGTTGCAGCAAATATATGATTTATATCTTACTATTTTCGAAATTTTGCTGTACCCATTATTCTATTTAGAAAATATAACAATTATAAACATGATTCGAGATTGCTCGAAGAATCAAATATATCAATAACAAAAATGTTTACATATAATCTTTCTTGTAATTGTAAATTTTTTGTAAAAAAATAATAAAATAATAAAAAAATATAATATATTATATTTTATATATTAAAACAGAATGCAATGTAAAGTATATTAAATTTGTTTGAACAAATGTATGTGAAAGAATAGTATTTTTGAAATATTATTGAAATATTCTCAATTCTTACAATTACGTTATTTTAATTTCTAAATATAAAGATATTATTATTATGAAACTATTCCTTCTTTGTATCGACGATTTAACTTACAAATGCACACATTTATATAGATAATAAAAGATAACAACATATTATGTATTAATAATATGTTGTAATGTATTAATAATATGTTGTTAATAATATGTTAATATATTATGTATAAATTCTAATTAATACTTTAACGAATTTTTAACAAAGTAAAAAATAGTTGAATAGCGCGAGCGATAGTAGTGAATTACTATACTGATGCGTTCTCTAATAATTTTTTAAAATTAAATTTAATATGATAAAGAAAGTGTCGATTTTGTAAATGTTTTTGGATTATTATGCTTTTGATTATGTATAGAATTTTTTATTATTTAGTTATGACATGTAAATATTTAGTTTTTATTTAATTTTTATTTCTAGTTTATATTATTGCAAAACATTAATAATTTAGCATATTTACATAAAAGATTGTAAGAAAATACAAAATAATAAAAATTTATTGAGTGTCAACATTAAATGTTAATTTCAATCAATAACTATAAATTAAACTGCTGCTTATAAAAATTTTTTTCATAAATTGTAAATAATTATGATATATAATATGTATAACATTTCATGAAAAACATAATTTTAAAGAAAAATTTAAGATATAAATAATTCCATCACATATCCAATGTAAAAAGTCTATACCATATAAAAATAATAGGATACCTTTTTTTCCATTTTCAAGACAAAATGAACAGCTGAATAGTAGATAGTAATTATAGTTTTATAGAATAGATTTTGGATTTGTAACAATGTACAACTGGATAAATTTGTGATCACAGGAGAAGAATTATGAAACTTTACACTCCTGCGTCTCTTTTTGTACTCTGACTTCTATCGAATTGGCCTGCTACGGAAAATTGAAGGTAGGTGTTCTATACATTGCATAGATAAAAATGAATTAAACCGATAACATGCATTTTAATTCTATACGTTTACTTTTCTTAATTTATATTTATATTAAATTATAAGTTTTATTACGTTATTTGAATCAGATTTACCAATCAGAGTGAAGGTGTTAGCATATTTGAACTTAAAATTTATCATATATACGTTGATATATATGATATATATATCATATATATATCATATATATATCATATATATATTATCATATATACGTTGAACACTTTATAGTATTCGGATGATGATAATGATTTAATATAAGTATACATAGCGACATTGATCAAGCTGAACCACAATTCTTATACAATTAATTTGATAGCTTCTCATTATTATTTTTTTTCAAAACCGCAATTTATTCATTTACGACTTTGCTCTGACTATTGCGACTGCTTGTATTAGATTGCTCATTAAATGCACGCGAATTTCACATTGCGAGCTACATGTATGCAATTCGCAAACGAATGAAAAAATATACGCAAACGATAACATATTAAACAAACATCGGAGATCTCACAGAATCAACCCGCCATTGAGAAATAAAAATTTATTGTTATAGTCTTCAGTATTTTCCTATCTACCCATTCTTCCAACTGTCATAAATACAAATCAAGGTTTCTCGAGGAGTCGAATATATTATACGTCGATAGCGAAAATGTATCTATAATCTTTCTTGTAAATAACAAAAAAATAATAAATTATATTTATTTTATATATTAAAGCAGAAAAATGCAATTTAAAATCTAAACTTGTTAGAACAAATATATATAAAGAATATTGAAATTGAAAAGAATATTGAAAATATTATTGATATATTTTTATGATTAAATTATTTTTAATTTTTAAAATAAGAATATTATTATGATAGTTTTCCTTCTATATGTATCGACGATACATTAAATATTAAAAAAAAAGACTTTTTTTTAACTCACAAATGCACTATATTTGTATAAATAATAAAGAACAATATATTATATATTGAAATTTTTAAAAGGTTTTTAAGCAACAAAAATGTTAAACAGTTCCAGCGATAGACATAGTAAGTAATTACATTGACGCATTCTTAATGGTTTCTTAAAATTAGGTTCTAAATTTAAGGAAAGTGTCAATTTTGTGAGCGTGTGTGGATTATTATGCTTTTGATTATTTATAAGAACTTTTTATTCGATTGTAGTAAATAAACATTTTTATGTACTTTTTCTTTATATCATTCATTATATATTATTAAAACATGAACATATGTTGTTATATTTCCAAATTTTTATATTATGTTATATCATTGCAAAACATTGACTAATAACGTTAAATAATTTAACATGTTTATATAAAAGGCTACAAAATAATAATAATTTATTGAATGTCAACGTTAATTTTATATCAACGATAAAAATAAATTATAAACTGCTGCTTATGATAATGCATTTTTTCTTTGGGATGTAAGTAATTGTAATATATAATATATATGTATAATATTTTGTTAAAAAATATAATGTTAAAAATAAATTTAAAATATGAATTATTTAATTACGTTTCCAATATAAAAAAAAATCTATACTAAATGTAGCTTAAAAATATGTATTATATAATAAGGCAAATAGAAATTAGAATTTAATTTTTCAGCTATCATTGAAAAGTTACACTATTAAATATATTCTTTTAATTTACTTATAATTATTCTTTTTATTTTAATTGCAAATCCACTCTACCATTTCTACAGTCTATGGAAAGCAACTTGGTATTTCACCATTAATTATAGGTAGCATATTTACCGTTGTATCTTTACTACATCTCATAGTGAAACCAATGTTCAATTTCACAATGAACTATTCTCAAACAGACGGAGAGAAATGATTTTATAACATTGATTATTATAACAAATAGCTGCTATCTCGGGATATTTTTTTAGCAGCACTGCCAGATTCAAAATTGGCACATTATTTTAAAAATGTTGCAATTACATTTTTATGATTGTGATATGAAACATGTAAGGTTATAATTAACATTTTATCAAAAATATATACAGCTTTTTTCTTATAATTAACATTTTGTCAAAATTACACATATATTTTAGATGAAATATTAATTGTAAGATGTCTGCAAATACTATTTTGTGAGAAAAATTAATTTATATAAATTTATAAATTAATTTTTATATATTCTTTGTATTTATAAAATCATACAATTTGTAAGACATATTAAAAATATGTAAATAAAAATATATTTTACATAAAATGCGTGTTACAAAAAAATTTATTTAATTACTCTAAAAGTATAAAAGTATAAAACAATACATTTTTAATAATAATAATATTAAATTATTAACATTTTTCAGCAAAAAAAATGTTTTTCAATTTTTTTTTAAACGTTATTCATTCTTTATTTAAACGTACATCAACAATCGCATTGTATAACGATATAAAAGGTACTGCATGTTATTGTATATGCAAGAATATCAAATTTTTCACAGAATAATCCTTTCACGCAACCAAAAAGAAAACAATTATTTTATTAGATACTGTGTGTTTAATAAATTTGAACCATACGTCATTCCGCCAAAATAATATTACGGAGAAATGTGATGTAAAGTGATGTAAACGCTTTTGTAAATTGTTAGACTAAGATATATCTGAAAGAATCGTAGATCATTTCGTAATGTTTTTGCAATTAAATTGTTTTTAGATTTTAAAATATGAGAATATTATTCTGATAGTATTTGTTTTATATATATTGTATCGATGATTAAAAAAAGTATAGTATAATAGACAATGGCACAGATTGTTAGTCATTTCGATTCGATAAATTATTATAATTAACTTATGATACTATATAACATTTATCTATATGATAATATATTCTAATGTAATAACTTTATTAATAATAATATTATTGGAAATTTTTTAATCTCTATCGCATTATTATAAGAAAAATATCAAAGTTATAATTATTTTCCAGGTACTATATTCGTTAACTTTCTTGCTACAAACAATTACGTCTTGCACCAGTTGCATATATAAAAATATATAAATAATAATAATAATAATAATAATAATAATAGGTATCTAATAACAGATATCTAGAGTTATAGAAATTTCGATTACATAGAGAAACTGCTAAATTTTGCAATAAGAAACAAACGCAATAATTAGTTTTACTATATTTATAGGTAGCATATTTGCCATTTTATCTTTAGTACAACTCAAAATGAAATCAATATTTAGTTTCGTAATGGACTATTTTCGAGCATAGAGAAAAATGATTTTTATAGCATTGATTGTCATAATAAATAGCTAGTACATCGGGATATTCTTTTTACCGGCATTGTCAGTTCCAAAATTACCGGATTATTTTGAAAATGCAAATGTTGCAGTTTTTATCAGATTATGACATGGAACATATAAGGTTATAATTAACATTTTATTAAAAATATATACAGTTCTTCTCTTATAATTATTAAAAAGTTATTAGAAATATATGCAGTTTTCAATTTACGCAGTATCTCACAATTAACATTTTATCAAAAATGTACACGTATATTTTAGATGAAATATTAATTGTAAGATGTCTGTAATACTTTTGTAAAGAAAATTAATTTATATAAATTTTTAAATTAATTTTTATATATTTTTGTATTTATAAAATCATATGTTTTGTAAAATATATTAAAAAATGAGTAAATTAAAAATTTACATTTTTATAATTAAAATAAATGCGTGTTACTAAAAATTTAACTAATTGTTTTAAAAGTATATAAAACAATACATT